TGAGAGGTCGCTCTTGTTACCAAAGAATACAGATAAGAAGAACGAGCAGCTAGCGTATTTTGCATTACGGAATTGTAACGCTTTTTACCGGAAGTGCGTCATATCATGCGAGTTAACTATTATGTCCTATTATCTAATAACATACATGATCTGTTGTTGATTGAAATTTATTTCATAATTGCTTGTTTATTTAATGTAGTTTTTCACTTGTATTTATAACTAGATAGCGGCCTATTTTCTCATAGTATTGTGTTTCGTACATGATACTGTACATTGAAATACATTCATACAAGGGGAAACTAATACAGTATAGAACTGCACAGTGGTGGATGCAAAGGGGGGGGGGGTACCGACGGTGCGATCCCTCTAATGTGTATTAAGAAAAATAATTGTTTATTTTATTGCTGATATGAATTAACAGTAAGATTGTTTTAGGTACGAGAGTGAAATATTTTTTCTGGTGTCTACTTTCACGCCCGTCACCTTACCGTCAAATCCTGCATCCGCCCCAGCTGCATTGGCCGTTTATTTTTTAGTGTAAAATGGATCGTATAATAACACTCAAGTAAACGGCCCTTAATTTCACTGTAAATGTGGTAGCGTAGTATGTGATCATAAATACGTATAGATCCTAACCAGTTTGGAAAAAATGTTAAATGTTATTATGAATAATAATAATAATAATAATAATAATAATAATAATTATTATTATTATTGTAATTGTAATTGTAATTGTAATTGTAATTGTAATTATTATTATTATTATTATTTATTATTATTATTATTATTATATTACAATTCGGGTTGAAATGAGCAGTATGTATATTTGTTACTTGGTTTTACATTAAGAATTCTACAATCAATATTACAAATCGTTGTAATAATAGGGCCTACATATCATAAAGATTGATCTAACCAGGTTGGAAAAAATGTTCAATGTCATTATTAATAATATTAATAATAATAATAATAATAATAATAATGATAATAAAATTACAATTATTAACGGGCCTAGTTGTAACAATAATAACAATTAATAATATTATATTGATGATGACGACGATGATGATAATAATGATGATGGGTTGTCAAATAGTTTCTTGATGGAGGGGTCCCTTGAGTACCTGGTGGTCTTGTTTGATTGTGTTTCTGAGATGCGAAATCCGAGGGTTAAAATCACTGATACTAGCGGTAGCGGTGTTTCTTGACAGTTCGACTGACTCTTAATTTGGTATGCCTAAGTCTCAAAGAGCGGTTGCAAATACAAATGTGAGGTTAGAATAGCATAGTTACCAACCGTCTCGCATCGTGCGGGACGGTCCCGCATTTCAAAGTGATAGTGATTTTGGATGAAACACGCATTCTGCAGAAACACATGCGTGATCAGAAATTTGTCACGCATTTAGCACAAGTCTATGCGTGATAACGAATTATCACAAATTCAGAAGAAAATGTATTTAAAATTAGAAGAAATTGGTTTTATTAAAAATATAAAAACTGTCATGCAGTAGCTTGAGTCAATAGAACTTTCGTATCTCGTTCGTGAATCAATTCATCGAGAAAATTTCTCTTTCCCGACCAAAACAACCCAACCAACCACGCCCGTATAATAGAATCTAGTAATCGTTTGCAGTCTTGTTCGTTCAATGTCATAACCAATCGTTGATTATGTGCATGGAACCCGGGCTCCAGGGTGCCCCCTTCCCTCCCACCGGTGTATGTCACGCATTTCAAATCTCTCAGGTTGTTAAATATGGAATAGAAACTTGGTTGTCGTATGTATTTACTTGGGTTGGACCATTTGCGTTTGAGGCGAAGATAGTGACTATTATAGACGATTGATTTATTCAAAGACAGGGGAAGAAAGCTGTTAAAGTCCAGGTAGTGATTCTTCCGCCGTTAAGTCCCCCAAAGACATTAGAAAGTACTGTTAGTGGTGGAATTTGTATTCAAGAGTAGTTTATCAACACCATGGTTCCAAAGTAAAAATATGTATCTGCAGTAAAACGTTAGCTGGTTTATAAGTGAGTCCGGCAAGTAATTTTTCTTCGAAGTCTCCCATGAATATATTGGTATAACAAGGTGAAATTCGAGTTTCCATGGCAGTTCCTTGTATCTGCAAGAAGTGATCTCCATTGAAAGTGAAGTGATTGTGGTTCAGGATAAATTCAGTTATAGAAGATTAGTCCTTAGCGGATTGAAAGGCGCAGATTTCTCAATAAACTTTTCACAAGCACGTAATCCTTTATGTGCACTGTAAAAACAATGTGCAGGATTTAAACACAAAGCTCCACGGATGTTGTCCTGTCTTTGGTGACGCGTTTAAAAGCTAACGTGTTCAGCCTTGGATGTGCTTAGGTATTTGACGTCATGATGTCAAATACTGTACCTATAAGCACATTCTGCATTTTTCAACTTAGAAAAGGTGGCCAGGTACGACCAAAATATATATATTTGTTTAATATTGCTGTTCAAATATATAATTCGGAAATATATATATTATATATATATATATATATATACATATATATATATATACATATATATATATACATATATATACATATATATACATATATATATATA